GGCACCGGAGGGGAGCCTGTCCCTCCTCTGGTGCTATAAGCTAGGGAAGAGAGAGGAAACAAAAGCTGTCGCCCCAAGCAGAAGTTGTCTCCTGTTTTGCCAGTTCCTCCCCATTTCATTGGTGCACATCAGAGCGCTGGCAGTGCCTGACGTCCCCCCTGGCACTTGCCGGCTGTACCTCCGTTAGGAGCCCGTTAGGAAAGCGCTTGTCGCACTGTGGTTCGGGTACCGGTAAACCGCTAACGTGTCACCGCCCCTGGGTCACACAGACGCGACACAAAAGTCACTTCAGGGAAAGTTGTGTGATTTTGGCTATACCGCAGCGGTGGGACCGTGCGGGATGCCAGCTCCTTGCTGTGTCAATGCAGGATGGGCTAAGGCGAGGCCGTCCAAGAGCAGACACCGTCCGCGACCTGATTAGCGAAGGAGAGCACTCTTCCAGCAGAATACGCTGCAATATCTGCAACAGGGTTTTCCCGCGAGAGAAGTCGCTGCAGGCCCACAAACGAACACATACCGGTGAGTAAAGGAAAGGTGTTAGCCGCGTAGGAAGCAGCAGGGAAGGAGTTAAAAAAGAAAACAAGCAGTAAAAAACCACAGAAAATCCCCAACGACCTCAACCTGTTAAGACCTTATTGCAACTGTTAAATGAATCATACTTTTCTTCCAATTCTTGTTAGTGCAGTCAAAGTGTTTGTAAATGTATTTGTCATGGGAAAGTGTAGAACAAGCTGGGCAAATTGTGCAAATATTTTATCTGCTGCTGTCACAGGCTTACTTTGTAAGAGGGAGGGCTTTTCTTGAGTGCAGTGGTCTGTACATGGTAGCGCTTCTTACTCTGACTGCCTCTTCACTGTGACTTGTTTCCTTCTTGCTGGTGTATTTTTCGCACAGACACGGAAGCTCAGCTACAGTAACTTAAAAAAGGGCTGGTAACTTGGTGGGGGGCAGTGTAACACCCTAGAAGTGTAGCTTAAATGTTGAGGAAAGAGTTCAAATGCTCAAAGTCGCCACCCAGTTGTGTCTCCCTAGAATTCACTTTCTGCGGTGGAGGTGGTCTTGCAAATTCAGTGAATGAGCTGTTTGTAGGAAGTAACTCACAGTCAAGATAAAATGTAGCATCAACTTACTCAATACCCAGCTGAGCTTGAACTAAACAGGAAATGCTGGTTTTTTTAAACCAAGTAAATACATTTTTTCCTCTTTCATGTTCCATGAGTACTTTACTTGCAATAAAGTGTGAACTAATGCAGCTCACAATATGGACACAACCACCAATATTACCCCCCAAAATGAAAAGCAAACAAACAAAAAAACCCAGCAAAAAAACTCCAGAAAAACCTTAGCTTCCATGGTCTTTTTCTGACTCAGGTCACTAAAACTAAGCTAGATACTTATAAAAAACAAAAGATGGTTTTATTTCACTTGTTTGCATTAGGTGTTGAACTTATCTGAACTACTTAACTGAGCAGAGCATATACCCTGGTGTTATTCCTCATACTTAGTAAGTCAGCATCACGCTCATTTTGTGCCCTTCCTAAGAGGTGATGGCATGGCATGCCGTGGCATAGTTGCTCACAGTCAGAATCTCTTGAGGGAGGAAATGCCTGCTATATCTATTATTCTCATTGCAGTTTGCATGGGGAATTCTTCCTTGATGACTGCCAAAGAAAACTTTCTTGACTTAAGTCTGGAATAAGTTTCTCTGTGCAAGAGTCTTTAGGCAGAAAATAGGACAAGGAAAATATACATGTTTATTCTTCCTCCTCACGTTCCACCCACCCCACCCCACCCCATTCCGCGGAAATAACTATTATCCAGTAACATTGGGCATGTACTTCAAAGTAAAGATCTCTGTGGAGTTAAGTGGGCCTCTGCTGTTTGGTACACCAGGGCTTTTAAAGCAGGTGCAGGCGTCTGAGTGGGTAAAATGGGAGCTTGCTTGTCAAAGTCTTAAGTCGGGGACCACCACTGCATACTATGACTCCTCTTTTTATATTCAGCTTTCATAACTCTGTTCTGTTATTTTTAAGGTGAAAGGCCTTATTTGTGTGACTACCCAGATTGCGGGAAAGCCTTTGTTCAGAGTGGACAGCTCAAAACCCACCAGCGTCTCCACACAGGGGAGAAACCTTTCGTCTGCTCAGAGAATGGTGAGCCATAGGGGAAAGATTCGCAACTTTCAGACTTTTCAGACTAGGGTCAGTCTAGTAGTGGAAACATAGGGCATGTTCACGTGGCAAAGATCCATAAAAGCTTTGGATTTTAATTTTAGAGGAGCTTCTAGGGAAGGAAGGAACCACGCAAAGATCTCCACAGTTATGCAGATATGTAGCTAAGGATTGCATATGTTATATGTGATTAGGTTATCAGTAATTCTGTCACTTGAAACTAATGTATAAAATGATGTGACAAGTTTTGACATTGCAACTAGAGCTTGCTGTTTTCAACCAAGCCTAGGGTTTTATGAGTGAGGAAGGTTGGATTCAGCAGCAGCTTCACCCCACAGATGTTATGCTTACTTGTTGTTTGGCTGCTTTCCCTAAGGTGTTCTTCATTATCACTTTGTGGGTTTTTTTAAGGCTGTTTAAGCAGATTCACGCATGCAAACCGTCACTGCCCCAAACATCCGTATGCCCGACTGAAGAGGGAAGAGCTTACAGACAGGCTGAGTAAGAAGGAGACTGCTGACAATAAAGCTGTGGCTGAGTGGCTAGCAAAGTAAGTTCCCTCCCTCAATGTGTCCTCTTTCTTTAAGTACTTACAAGGGTGGTCTAAGAAAGCATTTTATTCTTAGGGGCAGAAAAAACACACAAACCAAATGCAGCTGTTCCTGCGGTACAAATCATTCTCGCCTTGCCTTTCCTTAAAGAAGCAAACTCCTAGTTAAGACAAAGTTCCTCATATGGCTTATTTGGATCTTTGTTGTTGTGGGGGTTTGTAGGTTTTGTTGGTTTTTTGGTTTGTTTTGGTTTTTTTTTTCTATGCTTAAATACTTCTCTTGTGCTTGATCAGCACCTGCTAATACCTTGTTTTTAGTGCTGGGTCTTGCTGAATTTGCATTTGTATGAGGGGCAACAATTGTCTATGCCTAGGGAGAAATGCCTGCGGGTACACTATGTAGAGGAGCAATCTGTCACAGATGTTCACTTGGACGCTTCACACTTAATAAATAAAGGAGGTTTCTGACAGCTTATATATAAGGGCTGAAAGATAAAGCCAAATGCAACACTTAGTCAAATGCAAACTAGTACTTACTTGGGAGGTTTTTGACTGCTTTGAATTGGTATGCAAGTCAGTTGCATATATTTTAAAAGCATTCCCTTTAATATAGCCCTTTAATATCTTTAATTCTGTAGGTACTGGGAGACCAGAGAACAGCGGGCTCCTGCTTTGAAAAGTAAAACAATACAGAAAACAGATCAGGAGCAGCAGGACCCCATGGAGTATCTTCAGTCTGATGAAGAGGATGATGAAGAGAAAAATAGCGCTCACTCGGCTGCTCGCCGCCGCCTCCAGGAACAGCGTGAACGCATGCATGGTGCACTGGCTCTTATTGAGCTTGCAAACCTAGCTGTGGCACCGCTGCGACAGTAGATAGGAACAGAGTCTGCCTATACAAAATGTACTTACTGGTGGTATTTAACCAGTTAGATCTTGAGTATAAGCTAAGCACCTTATTTGCTTGTCATAGGCTGCTATTCTGTAGAATTTATGAAGAATGTTGTTGCCCCATCACATGGGGTGAGAGAATTGCACTTTTTTTTAAGGTAAAAGATAGATGTAGAGTTTCTAAGTATTTTGTAAATATAGGACTGCGTAATGCAGGGTTGACAAATTTATGTGTTGTGGGAAGCTAGATTTTGCAAGGTTAACTCATTTGAAGCAGTTTTCACAGGAAGCACTTTCTAAGCAAAGTGTTTGTGATTAGCAGAATGGTACACATGGCCAAAGAAGCCTGACGAAAAGAGAAGTATTTATCTGACTATTTAAGCAAGTTTATATTAAGTGGTAGGTCTGAAGATGTTGTTAAGCAGCAATGAAACTGTGTTTTTCTGGTGTGAGTACATCTTTACCTAATATCACTGAGGCGGAAAGCAAAAAGCTTGGTTATCTCAGCTTGCAGAGGGGAAGAAACTGTTCCATGCAGGAAACCATAAGATCATTAAGGATCTTCACTGTGACTGCTCAAGGTATGAGGCTTGACTTTGCTGTTTTACCTTTTCTGATTTGATTTCAGCAGAATCTCTTGGTAGCACTTGTTAATCCTAATGTGATGTTAGGAACTTTTGCACATTGTTGGGTTTATCTGAAAATGATTAGGCTTGCAAAGTCTACACAAAGGTAAACAATTGGCAACTTTTTTTTTTTTTTTTTCAGATATTTTTGAACCCTGTAGTGATTTGGCACTTGATTTTGATAAAGGGGGTATTTTCAGAGTGGTATGGATTTACAGTAAACTATTTTAGGAGTCCTATTAGCAAACACTAAGTTCTAAAGTATTGCTTTTACATGATTATTAGCAAATAGAAGCCTCCGTACTTTCTGTGCATAAAGCCACCTTATTGCTTTACTTCAGGATAACATGCCAGTTTTGTGTTCACTAACTATAGCACAGCTATCAATTAAACACTGCAGAAAAGTATTCACTATACAACTAGGAAATAGGCTTCTGAAGATAGTTACAAGTGTGATAACAGTGTGATTTCATGTATTTCCCAAATAAATGAAGTTGCAGAATGCTGCCTAGTACTCAGATGCTGATAGGAAATGTTTAGTAGGATATCTCTTCACTTCAGGAATGTTGTATACTTTGAAATAGGATTGTCTCATGGTGATCATTTTCTGTATTTTGCTTTGAAGGCAACCAGAGATTCCTAATATGCTAACAAAACTTTTTTTAATGACAGTCGTTTAAAACCAGTTTTCAGATCAGACTTTTTGTTGTGTGGTTTTGTGTGGTTTTTCTGGTTTTGTTCTTGTTTCTTTAAGCTACTGCTTAAGGGGATATTTTTGTATACCTCTATTAAAGGATATACAAAATATTTTTATATCCTATAAAGGGATATAAAAAAAATAATTTGTATTTATGGACCTGGTTGCTTTAATTCCTTCCTCTTGTTGAAGGTTAGGAAATTCAGATGAGAAGGGGAGTCACTTTCCCTCTCTTATACAAAAGGAAGAAATAATTTTATCAATCATTTGATGTAGACTGACCAGGTGCCTAGAGCTGTTCCAGAAAAGTAGTGAGATTTTACACCAGAAACTGCAACTGTTGGCTCATGTTCTCTGATAACTGATTAACCTGTTGTGGTTGAAAATCTCATTAACCCAGTTGTTTTTGGTTTTAAGTCATGTATTGATGCACTTAACTGAAGAGTAATTGAAAATTAGAAAAAAATAAAACATTGAATGTAAATAATTTTGCACCAGTGATACGGTTTAACTTTTGCTTTCAGTTTGTAAACTTAGCAGATGACAGGCTCATTCGTTTCTAAGCCTTTTAAGCTTAAAGATATGAAACACTGTAGTCATTCTAGGCTTCTTAGCCTATGTAATACTGGTAGTTTGCATGTGTAGGTTTGGAGTATGTCACATAAGTTACATGCTTTTGACTGCTCAGTTGGCTGCATGCAAATAGTTTGATCCCAAAATGAGCCCGGAGTGTAAATCAGTTGCACTTCTGAGTCATAATTCAGAATTGATCCTACGTCGTATTTCACTGGACACAAGACTGTGTAATTACCAGCCAGTTGCAGACTGGAGCCGTTAACTTCATAGGATTGATTTTTTAAATTTTTTTAGTACTACGATTTTTTCCTGTTTAGCTGTAATGCTTTGGGCAACTCGCAGAGTATTTCTTCAGGTCTGACAAGTACACTGAATTGTACTTGGCTGTGAAGAAAATTCAGAAGCAGCTTTGTGTTGTGACAAGTTTTGCGTAAAATAGCAGGTAAAAAAAACAAACAACGTGGAAGACCACTTTTTGTTTTATCAAGGAGTGATTACATGCAAGGAATCTTGAATCGTTCAGTGCTTTGAAAGATTAAGTTGTAGTTTGGTGTGACTTAACAGGAGAAGGGTGGATGTGCTGTCATTTAAATAGACGCTTTGAATAAAAACTTGGTTTGATTTAAAAGTTTAGTGTGTGCTGTTTGATAATTGTTACATACTCGGGCTTTTCCTCGTTCCAGTAACACTGCCAGCCTGGCTTGTCACAAAGGATGCAGGTGTTTACTTTCCGCCCTGCCTGCTGAAATTTGACACAAGTTAACTGCCCAAAACATATTTTTTTGGTGTTTATGGTGCTTTGGGGATATTTTTTATTATTGGGTTTTTGTTTTGACAAACCCGTGAGGGGCCGGACCTGTGGAAGCGGCCTGGGGCTGAGGTGGGCTGCAGCCCTGGCTGCTTCCACCCTCCCCTTGTCTGAGGCGAGT